CTATTCCCTCCTTCAGGAACAAACTGGTATTGTGCTGACAAAACTTAGCCTGTTCTTTCTCTCTCATTGACAGGTAGTAGCCTCATCCCCTTACGAAAGAGAAGGACATGGATGTGCTGCCTTGCAATTACTTGAGGCCCTGCACCACAATATCCACGCAGCAGTGGGTGAGATGTGGGTACTAAATATCCCACCTCTGCTGCAGTACATTGAAGGTAAAGTGCTAGTTAGTAGGAGTGCGGTCCATGGAGAATAGAAGGGAAGCCACAAAATGCAGCTTCGTATTGACATGTGTTGTGCCATTCCTGCTGCAGTACATGGGAACAGTGGGGAATTGAAATTGGGCTTCTAGGCCCTCACTTTTCCTTCACCTGGATAACTGTGAACCACTGGGGTAAATCCAGAGTTTAACCACTGAGGCCAATTCAATCAGGGCAGAATCAGGCCAGGAAGGTTTCAGCTGAATGGAAATTTTACAGCAGTTCCCCCCACACCTTTGCTAGGTTGAATACACATGAAGCTGGAGGTTAGTGAAATATTTTGGAGTTACATATATAGTCTGATTTTGGAAACTGAATTTTTCTGAAAATTAAACCCCATGTTTACTTTCAAGGGTGATTCAATTAAAAAACCCAGAGTTTTTCTTTCTGTAAGGAAACCCGAGCCATAAAAGCTAGGTTGGTTAGTGGGTGCCCTTTGTAGAATCTAGGTATTATGGGCCTAAAAATGTCTTTCACCAATTTTACAGTGGTATGAATCTATTGACCTCCGTGGAAAAAACCCTTCAGTCAGTGTAGGCCAAGGGTAGGCAACCTATGGCACGCGTGCCAAAGGTGGCACGCGAGCTGATTTTCAGTGGCACTCACACTGCCTGGGTCCTGGCCACTGGTCCAGGGGGCTCTGCATTTTAATTTAATTTTAAATGAAGCTTCTTAAACATTTTAAAAACCTTATTTATTTTACATACAACAATAGTTATATATTATAGACTTATAGAAAGAGACCTTCTTAAAACGTTCAAATGTATTACTGGCATGCGAATCCTTAAATCAGAGTGAAGAAATGAAGACTCGGCACACCACTTCTGAAAGGTTGCCGACCCCTGGTGTCGGCTTTGTCTACACTATGGGGTTATGCCAGCAGAGCTCCAATGACGTAGCTGTGCCAGTACAGTCTCTGTGGAGTGTGACAGACCCTATGTGGAGCACAAACCCGATATCTTTCTGAGGAACATCGGACCCCAAAATGTTCAAGTGGGTTTGATATTCAAAAAAAGATTTAAGAAATGAGCTGTATCTTCCTAGTTGTTGTTGCTGTACAGAGTCCCCAGTATTACATTGTGCCGACATTAAAGAAGGGCAGGTTAGAGCTGGACATTCAGAAACAGGGCCAGATTCTCAGCTGATGTAAATCAGTATAATTCCATTGACTTCAGTGAAGCTACACCGATTTACATCAAGTTAGGG